GGGCCAGTCACACACATTCAGGATTCTTCCTCACAGGGTTCTTGCAAAGATAAAAATGGAAGACTGGAGAATGCGGTAAGATGCTTCAGGTCCCCATGGAGGAGAAGCATGAATTATAAGTGACGCCAATAAAGTTCCAGCAAGCCATGTGGTATAGGGGTTAGAGTGTCAGACCTGTGAGACCCAGGTTCAAATCCCCATTCTGCCATAGGAGCTCACTGGGTGGTTACAGTCAGTCTGTTTCTCTCAGTCTAACCTACTTCACAGGGCTGATGTACTGAGAATAAACCGGGGAAGGGAAGAATTATGTCGTAAATCCCTATGGGTCTCCAAGGGGGAGAACAGCAGGGTATAAGTATCAAAATAAATAAATACGAATGCCTTTTTATGGTCTGAATAATGTCTTTCCCCCAAAGACAAGAGTTTTTTTAAAAAAATACTGCACAATGAACATCACATGTTAACTCACCATAAACTGGAATCTTCCAGGTTTGTGTTTCAATTTTCACATCCTTTGTTCAATGTCATGCATAACATAAACATAACTTAAAATATTCAAAATGCACAATATACTAAACACACTATGATGGACCAGTACATAAGAAGCATACTAATTTCTGTAGACAACATCAAATCACATAGTCCCTCTTTTTCTCTAGCATTTCTAACTGAAATTTGCTAGATTAACAGAAAGTACATAAAAGTGGTTAATCACATGCCATGAATATGTGTGATTTAATTTGCAGCCCCCTCCCTCATAAAATAATGTTTAGAACTGCTCTCAGCTCACATCAGTATAAAGCTAAAAATGCAGGAACAGAAGACTTGTATGACACGCAACTGTCCATCATTCACCTAAGGAGCCTGAACTTCAACCCTTCCATATATCTTATCCTTGCAACTACTGTATCAGGGAGATGAGAGTGAGAAACAGGGACTGGCCCAAAATCACCAGGTGAACCTCAGGGCAGAGTGGAGATTTGAACCTGGATTTCCCCAGGACTAATACTCTAACCACTGTACCACAATGGCACTTCATGCCATTTATAGGCCAAAGCCTAGCTTTTACATCATCCTTCTAGAAATTCCAGACAAAAGAATCACAGGTGGTACATGAACACTGCCATACGATAGTGACAATTATGCACCCACTGCACTAAAAACCTATTGTATGGAATAACCCAGGGGTGTTCTTTGTTTCATTTAAGTGATGATTCACAGGACCAGGTCTCACCAGTGCATTGGCCATGGTTGAGTAAAACAAACCCAAACAGTGGGACATAAAATGATGAGAAACTCAGAATAAAAATGTTCAGGTTTCATAAATGGATGTTTATGAATGAATCACCATTCCCTATAGAACAGTTAGTTAGAATTGATATAAATGTTTAAGAATTAATATTGTGGTGAACAATACTGAACAAATATAGACCTCTCTAAAAAGCATATTAGAAAGCAAGAGGTTATTAACTATCAGAGTGAAATATTCTCCATGGATATAAAATAAACTTCAGGACATGTCAGTGTGCCTTCATAGCTAAACTGAGCTAATTGTTTCAGAGAATAGCTATATGCAAGTTGGTTCAACCAATTGCAACACACCACCAATTGGTCAATAACAGTACATTCAGCAATTGTCCCAGTATTCTCGTACTCAGCAGGTATAATTATTGCTTCAAGTTGGTGATATAGATTTTAAGTAAACATACAGCAAAAGGATCATAGCACAAAAAGATTTTCAGTCTTGACAATAGAGACAACATTCCGCTCATCAGCAGGTCACTATTATCCTCGAGCAACATTCTTTTTAACCAATTGGTTTTATCCTTCATTCTGGCATTATCTAAGCAAACTAGGTAAACAAACAACATTGATGCAACAGCAGAACATGCTGGGAGGCACTGTCAATTCTTTATAACATCTGTGCATTTCACACAAGCCTCTCTACTCCTTTCTTCAGTGAAATGAACCCTTAGTAGACTGAACTTAACTATTGATTGCCCTGAAACACCTAAAACACAAAGAGTTATAATCACTTTATGTTTTCTGCTACATATTGTCTTGCACAGATGAGAATAAATGTTACACACAACTTTTAGATTTTTCCCCTCTCCCCTGAATACTGTATGAAGGATAAATGCTATTTCAGCCCCGGTCACACGGGCCAAATAATACAGGAGGGAGTTGTGGCTTTTCGCCCCGGCGCAATTTAATGCGCCAGAATGTGATCAGACACCACCGTGGCAAAGTGGGGTTTTGTTTGTCAGGACACGTTTTCGGCATGCGTCAAGAGCACGCTTGAGCGATCACACATGGGTAATCCGTTGATGGCCCGTAGCAAACCGTTTGCTAGTAGGCTTTCGCGGGTATTTTTTAACTCCAGATCTTCGGGCGGATGCTACGGGTCGGTGATGGGTGTGCTATGCTTGCCAGATGTGTCTTTGTGATCAGGCCCGTATACTCCGCCCGACATTTGTGCCTCTCCCCGCCGCAAATTCTGCATGTGAACAGGGCCTTCATTGTTTTTAATTACTCATAAGCATAGATAGGCTAATACCTACCCTTACAGCAAAGGCAGTCTTAGCCATTGGGCAACAGGGCCGTTTCCCTTGCAGGCCACTGACTGACTACAGCCCAGAACCCTCAATGGGAAGGGGAGGAAGAAGAGCAGGCTTCTGTCTTGCAGTGGTAGCTCGCACTCACCTCAGAGAGAGCAAGGGTGACTCCTTGCTTGGCCCCAGAGGGGCAGTGATTCCTGAGCCCCTGCCCCTGCAGTTTGAGTAGCTAACTGACTGGAGAAAGAATGTCCTGCTCCTTCAATAGAGTCTTAAAAGGCTGCTACTTACCTCCATGACACAAAAAGCCTCTGTTAAAGGAGCAAACATTTGTCTCTGGGCCTGTTGACAAGCCACTGCCATCCTTCATTGACTTCAATGGACTGGGAAGGATATAATTCTTAGAATGGCACTATATAAGCAAAACTCTTTCCTGAGAGTAAACCTCATTGAATAGACCAGAGTAGGATTCAGTAGATGTATTTAGGATTGCTCAGCCAAGTTACTTGTATGGTTCATATGCTATATCATTTAACCCCTTCGGGGTCCAAGCGGGATATAAACTGAATGATAAATAAATATAAATAAATAAGCCCAAACAGGAACGAGGAGGAATCATAAGCAGAAAACAAGAATAACTCCCCAGAGCTCTCTCTCTGAGGAGTTTGTCTCTGGAGAGTTATTCTTGTTTTATACTAGTTAATCCCGCTGCAGGATCTTAGTTACTATCATCCTATTTTTGGTTTCTATATAACTGAACTACTGTAGTGTTTCCAATTTACTCGTGTGCAGCCTTTGTGAAATACAAAACATTTTCCTCTTCACCAAGAAAGCCCCAAAAACATAAGGATAAAGTAGCCAATCTTTTAAAAGTTTAACATACTCAGCAAATTTTGTGTCTGTGCTGTGCAGGGAAAGTAATAGGTAATCATAAAAAGCATGCTGCGTTTAGACTGTTTCACATTACAGCAATTCAGCAGTTTTATGAGGAGGTACAACACTTGTACTATAAAGAAACACTGGTACAGAAAACAGGTACCTCTGCCTTCCTATTCATGTATCAATTGATACAAAATTATTTGGGTGATTTAGGCATATGTTCTTTAACTTGTTTCTGGTATTGGTGTAAGCCACCCAAACTAACACCAACATTTTTAATGAAGTGTTCTTCACTTGGTACTGTGGGATAATTAAAGGAAAAGACAATGTATTTAAAAAACCTGCTTTGATCATTAATTACAGAGGTACCAAATGAATGTAGCACAGTACACTGACATATGCATGGCCCGTGAATAGTTAACTCCCCTAGAACATCTGGCAATTTAAAACTATATATCCCACTCCTGAGAAGTACAGCACAATAAATCAGAGTGTAACCAAAGAATGATAATTTATTCCAAAGTGCTGTGCAGCCAAGTACAGCCTGTACTCAGGCACTGCAAGAAATAAAGTTAGCTGCTTGGTGGCTAAAGCCTGGTCTTGACCCTGAGCGCGAGAATACCCAGCATTTTCCTGTCTTGGGGAGGTGTAATTAGAAAGATAACTGCATTATTTAATTAATCCGGCGAGAGCATGAGGGGGCAAAGGGACTTGCTACTGATTTTTTACTTCATCATCACACCGAAGTCACAACGGAAATGCGTCTGTTTTTAACGCCAGGGAGAGCGGAAAATGCCTAAACCATGTCCTAAATCTGATTTATCCCTACTTCCCGGAAGCAGAGCGCACGCATTCTCAGCAAGGAGGAAACGGGACTCCATGATGAGTCTCGCTGAGGTTTTTTCAAATTATTAAATGCCTTGTGCAAAAACGGACAAAAAGAAAGCCTTCTAGCCTCCAACTCGTTAGTCGAACTTCAAAAGAGAAAACAAGCTATTTTTGTGTGTGAAAAGGCTGGTTTCCCTTTTCAAATCGTGTTTATGACGAGTCCCAGATTTAAAAGCGACTAGGAAGCCGCGCTAAATATAGCCGCCAGCTAATTGCACTGCCTTAAAGCTTAAATGGCTCTTTAAAGCGACGTGCCCCCCGCCCCCCAGCCATCCAAGCCAGGCTGGCTGCAATCCGCACCAGCGACCGTGCGGATTTGTTGCAGTGACCTTCTTCCTACAACTCACGCCCAGCAAACTCTCACTTCCACCCACCCGCCTCCAAATCTCCAAACCAGATGGCGACGTGCGTTAACGACCATTCACCCTATTCAGACAGAGGGTTCCCCCCCACGGGAGTGTCAAAGTTGAGTCAGAAGATTTAGGCAGGAAACTGAAGGGCGGGCCGCGATGAACAGGAGTCTTCTCAAACCCACCCCAGGTCGCAGCATTCAGACGTTCCAAGCGAACAGAAGGGCTGGCATCGAGCTTGCCCAAAGGGATGCCCCTCTCGGTCTCTCTCTCTCTCACACACACACGGGCTGGTCCCCTCATCGCCTCCCCGCCGGCCTTTCCTTACCCGCGGTGTAGTCTCTGCCTTGCCCGAGCTCGGAGAGGAGCCTCCCCCACATGGTGGTGGTGCCGCCGCCGCCGCCGAGCGCAAAAAGTGGGGAGCCGAGGCAGACTCAGCGACCGCCCGGTTGCCCACACGCGCGCCGCAGACTCTGAGGGCCAAGAGAGGGGGCTGGCGGATGGAGACGGCGGGGAGGCCGCTCACTGCTGCGCGTGTGCTACTCCTGCCGCTTTTGCCGCGCTGCAGCCCGCCTCTGGCCTGAGGGGAGCTGAGGCCATGGCGTTGCCGGGCCGTTCTTCGCCGTGACAGCGACAGCAGCAGAAAGGACAAAACTCGCTTTATTCTGTTACTGCTGCTGCCCACTCACTGCAGCTTCCTTCCTCCTCCGGTCCTCCTCCTTTCTGCTGCTACTTCACGCCGGGCGGGGACAGAGGCGGGAACTCAGCAGATGCTGCCGCTGCTCTGGAGAAGGAGTGGGAGGAGGGAGTATACAGAAAGCGGGTTAAGAGGCACGGGAGGATGTGGCCGCATAACCCGACTGAGCCAGACTGAGCCCCTGAGGGTAACTGGAGAAACGAGGGCAGGAAAGGAGGGGCTTCATGGAAGAGAACCTGCAGTCTGGCCAAGTGCCGGTCAAGCAACACATAGCAAAAGTGCCTTTGGCCCACGTGCAAAGAAGACGAAGGGCACTCTCGCACAGGGGGCTGGAAAACATGTACTTTTTTAAAAAAAATAGTCACTCAGAGAGGCTCTTGTTGCTGTTCTGAACTAGTGTTTGGACTCAGTAATGAGATCCATGAGCTGAAACATAATCCTGACAAGACAGAGGTTTTCTGAGTTGATAGAATGGCAAACTGAAGACGAGATCTCTTCTGTCTTGGATGGGGTTATACTGGCCTTGAAAAGCCAGGTTTGCAGCTTGAGTGTGCTACGCAACACAGCAGTCACTTGAGAAAACCAGTGGGTTGAAGTGCTTTTACCCAGCTTCACTTGGTGCATCAGCTGCTTCCCTTCTTGGTTCGACCAGATCTAGCCACAGTTACATCTAGACTGGACTATTGCCGCATACTGTAATGACTATTTTTGAAGAGTGTTTGGAAACTGCAGCTAATGCAGAACACTGGCTAGACTGCTGGTTTGGGGGCAGCTGTCAAGAGCATTTGGCTCCAATTGTACAAGAGATCAGTTCCACTGGAGAAAATAGATGCTTTGGAGGGTGGATTCTATGGCACTGTATCCCTCTGAAGTCCCTGTCCTCCCCAGGCTCCACCCCTAAACCTCCAGGAGTTTCCGCACCTGGATCTGGCCACTCAAGCACCACATTCCCCTCTGGTGGCCAGAGGAGACCTGTCAGCCCTTCAGCCCCACTATTATGAAACAACCTCCCAAGGGAGGTGTGTCTGGCCACTGCCCCCTATATGGAGGTCTGGCTCCCTTACTTTCACTCTCTAGTACGCAGTTGAAGATGATTTTATTTAGGATTTTTAAGTGTACTGGCAGTCCTAAATTGTGATTTTAAAGTTTGGCTTTATGAATTCTTTTTAATTTTTTATCTATATTGCAAGCTAATTTTTAATCTATATTGTAAGCTACCTTGAGTTTACAATATAGCTACCTTGAACTACCTTGGATCTAGTATTTTTCCCCAATTAGGTTCTTTTTTTTAAAAAAAAAACTATTTGTAAGGGATTTGTGCAGCTGAGTTTTTACACTTTCAGATTTTCTAGTCAAGTGTGCAGTACACTGTGGTTGCTATAGTTGCACTGTACAACTAAGCTCTTTTTTTACAGTCTTCTTTTTATGAGCTTTTGACAAACCTATTTTGTGGTTACGCCTATTATGAATGTCTGCCTAAGAAATGGCCAAACTGAAATAAAATGGCATGGGAATACATTTGGTTTACTGGCATTTAAAAACACAATGAGCATAATTGTTTCCCACACAATATGTGTTAAAACAGAAATATGCAAGAGCATATTCAGGAGAAATTATTCGTGGATTGTGCCCTGCATCTTTAACTTGACTCAGATATTTGTAATGTGGCCTTCCCAGAACAGGGGTGCAACCTGATACCATTTCAGATCTGCATACCTCCTCAGTCTCCCACAGGATGCTTAAAAGGCAAGAGTCCTCCTTTTCAGATGTTACCACACTGGTACCAGAAGCTCACCAACAGGAGTGTGCACTACCTGCAATATTCCTGATACAGCCATTCCAGATCCCACCTGGACACTGGCAACCCCTAATCTTGCCTGATAAAATGTTCTGGAGAATTTGAAAGCTTGCCTGCTATTGACTGTCATTTGAGTTGGTCCTAATAAATAAGTGGTATCATGTGGCTTTTGTTTTTGGATGCTGTATAAATGCTGCAGTCTCCTTAAAACAACTTCAAAATCAAAACGTACAAAAATAGAAGCAAGTGCATTCAGTCCTGGACAAGTTCAGTTGGAATAGGACCAATGGAAGGCAACTGACCCAGAAATGTGAAATTATACAGTTTTGCATGCTTTACTGCACCCTGGATTTCACTAAGCATAAGGAACAATTTGTGCTGCTACACCGACATCAAATCCATGATGATGGCTTGTCCCTATTTGGATAATAACCTTCCACGTAAAAATTAAAGCAATCTCATAGCTATAGAGCTGAGTATCTACTAACCATGCCCAGACAACTTAATTGGGAAAATACAATTTCCTTGAATGTTGTTCTTAAGACCAAATAATTTAGGATTAATAGCAGATGTAACAAAGACATTTTGAACATATCATGATTTCAAAGGAAAGGCCCCTGGTGTGCAATGTAATCCCTTCCCCATAAGCATGACAAACCCATTCCAGAGCATCTTCTGAATGCAAAACTTTGGGGGGGGGGTTCCTTTTCCTTTCAGAACAAGTACTTTAAGGCTGAGGAGTGAGCAGGGTATTTTTAATGGCTGACTTATAAAAGGCATTTAATATTATGTATAATACTGTATTATATTGTTAAAGGGTTTACAATCAACTCTAAATAAATACATGAAAGTAAGAGTGGGTGGGAACTGAGGGGCAGGAATAATGGGGTCAAGCAGGACTAAATGTTTTGAGTGGGAGGAAAGGTAGTCCCAGACATAGTGGCAGATAATACATTATAATTAGAATCACTGAGGAAGAGGTGGATCCATCAAAGATAATGTTTCAGCCAATCCACCAGTGGAACAGCCAGGCAAGCCAAGGGGTAAATATTTTCTGCATAATACAGACCTAAAGGGCTCAGGTTTCAAAACCAGAAGTATCATTTCTTAGAAGGGATTCTTGCTTCCTTCTGCTCTACCTCAGAGCAAATGATCATGTCAGTTATAGTCTGATATGATCTTAGGTATGCAGAGATGGATGGAATTCAAATTCACTAGAAGCACAGTTTGCAGAATGCTGGCAACTGCCTTTTAATTGCAGGATTAGAACTTTCCTATCATATCTTGAACAAACTTTATCCTTTCCCCCTTTTTGTACTAAACACTGAGCCTGCGGAAGCGTTCTGGAGAACGCAGAAGTATGCTCACTATTTTGTGAACTAATGGTTGGTTCTGAAAAAAGGAATTATACTGCTGTTACCAGGATACCCCTTCCTGGATGTGTGCTGTCCGCCCTGACTTCAGGCGATTTCGCACTAGAGCTGCCTCGCGGCACAGCTGCCGTTTGCCCCGACACTATTTGTCAATTTCGCACCTGAGGCTGCAGGGCTGCATTTGACCCGCGGCTTCACCCGATTTCCTCCGCAGTTTCGTGATCCTTAAAAACCAGGATCACGAAACTGCGGAGGAAATCGGGCGAAGCTGCGAGTCAAAATGCAGCCCCGCAGCTTCGGGTGTGAAATTGACATATTTGTGTTGGGGCAAATGGTGGCTGCGCCGCGAGGCAGCTCTAGTGCGAAATTGCCCTTCATCTTGGCTAAATTACCAATCCCATGCTTCAGAGGTGAGGTGATGTCAAGGCTCTCCTCAGGCTATGCTAATGAGCAAGGTTGCCAGCTCTTGGTTGAGAAATACTTGGAGACCTTGGGAGTGGAACCTGAGAAGGGTGGGGCACGGGGAGGGGAGATACTTAAATGAGGTATAATACCACAGAGTCCACCTTCCAAAGTGGTGGACTCTTTTTTTAGAAACAATTTTTATTTTTAAAGACAAACATAACATAGAATGAGGGTATCTATTACCTCCTTAAATGTCTTTTTTACAATTCTCATACCTTAACAAAACATTGATTTTGTATATTTCACCTTATATCGCTGCATAAATCTCTTGCAAATATGTAATAATAAAGTTTTTATTTTCCTTAAATAGATTGTATGTCTGTATATTTTATTTGTTGTATTCTTCAATCCATTTATAAAATCTTGACCATGTATTTTCAAAGATTGTCTCTGGTTGTCCTTTCAAAATTAGAGTTACTACCTTTCTGCTCGAAGGTACTTCCTTTTTTCTCCAGTATTTAGCGTAAAGTATTCTTGCAGCTGTTATTACATGTATTATAAGATAAAAATCTTGTTTTTTTACAATTTTCTGGTAATATATTCAATAAAAATAATTCTGGTACAAAGGGAATAGAACTTTTAAATATTTTTTGTAAAATTTCATGAATTCAAAACCAATATTTTTTCGCTTCATCACATAGCCACCACATGTGATAGAAGGACCCAGTAATGTTATTACATTTCCAGCATACATTTGATAAGTTAGGATAGATCTTTGCAAGTTTATCTGGGGTGGTATACTATCTATAGAACATTTTATAAATATTTTCTTTATATGAAATTGCTTTGGTAATCTTTACATTCACACCTGTGACCATTGATTCAAGTCAATATTGTGACCCAAGTTTTGTGCTCATTTTATCATAGAATGTTTAACTAATTCGTCTTGGGTCTTATTGTCTAACAATTTCTTAATCAATTTCTCATCAGAATACAACAATATCTTATCCATTTCTGTTATTTTTACATAGAAGCCTATTGACTTATCCTTAGCATATATTGACTCTATTTGTGCTCTTTCCCACCATGTTAAACTTTCAGTTGGTTTTAGTTCAGTTTTGTTATCTAACAAATCTTTGTATCTTAACAATGCATCTATTTGAAATATATTAGGGTTTGTAAAAGCTTCCAATGGTGCCACCCATTTCGGTGTCATGGTATAAAAGCAACTTTTAATTTCTTCCCATACCTTCAATAAGGAAGATCTAATAAGGTGTTGCTTAAAATATTTATGTGTACTGGCTCTTCTATACCATACGAATGTGTGCCAACTTAATAAAAGATCATGACCTTCCAACTTCAATAGTTTTGTATTCTCTAGTGTAATCCATTCTTTTAGCCACATCAGAGATGCTGCTCTATAATATCTAAGCCAGTCTGACCAGCCAGCTCTTTCCTTTGCATCTTGTAATGCTTTAAGTTTTATTCTTGGTTTCTTATTCTGCCATATGAATTGTGTCATCAATTTATCCAATTCTTTAAAAT